AGGCAAAGTAGGTGTTATTCATAGCTTCCGTCTGAGTAACTTGGCTAGCACTTTAACACTTTGGCTAACACTTAAAAAGACAAGTGGCATGAGCGGTGAAGTAATACAGCACAATGCGAGCGCCCCTCAGGCCATTTCTCTAATAAAAGAATGTGGAATATAGCATGAGGATGCAGAGCTGGATGGAAACACCAAAGGCCACAGTCAACGCTCATTATACAGTCAATGCTCCAGACAAAGTAACAAATTGTAACCCAGACTCCTCGGTGGCAAGGTAAAAAAAGATCCACTATCATTGACAGCATAGCTGTGTTATACCCAAATCAGAATTTTCAAGTTCAATCACAATAATTTTTACAGTGTGGACTGAATATTTGTGGTCGTCTGTCCACATAAAGTAACCATGAACAGTGGATCCTGCGGTTTCTTATGCATTTTATTATTGCTCTCTGCACTTTGACTTATATGCAGTGATAAAGGGATTCATGTTTGAAAAAATCTGAAGGACTGTGACTACATGAAACAGTTATTGTATGTACTGTGTTTCATATGGACAGGCAAGATACTCATCCCCCTCAACCCCTCATACCATCAGCAGGTGTTTAACACAATTATATAGCTTAAAGAAGCTCCCAGTGTGAAGTGTAAAACTGTAACCGCACAGATGGGCATAAATATCACACCAGACTAACAGTTACACGAGACGAAATAAAGAACAGCTCAAGACCAACACACACTTATATAAAACACACACACACAGAGATTCACACAGGACCGTGGGTCAGCGGCTAACTCCTGACAGACTGGCTTGGCTCAGTGGATGTGAACAAAGCAAGAGGTCTTTAGAGAGGCTTTAGACCCGTCGGGGCTTTTGTGTTTGCATGGTGATGCCATGGGTAACGAACACGCATCTGAACGTCACATATCTGAGCTCCCACTGGTTTTCTGCCAGTCCTCTGCAGGCCCTGCCCTTGTTACTAACACTTTCTGTCCAAATAAGTATCCTACTTACATTTTGTTAGAAGAACAACCATGGTTCAACTTCTCTCTCAACAAAAACCAGGCAGATTGTCTGTTTGTTGTTTTTAAATACGTACGCCTTTTTTATTTTTAAGACTCAATAAGTATAGATGGGAGATATTTGACAGTTTGAAGAAATATATTCCTTATAATTGCTTTAAAATACACAATTCATGAATTTTTGTACATGAATCATACTCATGCCCATGTTATTAAAAAAATCATTCTGCACCCCACTTATCTTCTCAGTTGAGAGGCCCCTAGCCTCTGTTTGCACTGTAAACCCCCACAGCCATTGTCAGCTGTTGCTTCCTGTCATCCGAGTTAAGGCCTGGTCCGGTCATTAAGTAATAGTAGATATCTGCTCTAATCGCACCGCTCATTTTAACAAGCTTTTTCTGCTACAATTAACTGTGTCTCTACAGTTGGCCTGTAAGCTTCAACCTGGGGCTTAGATTTAGCCACTTATACCAGTTGCTGCATGCCTCCATGTCATTACATTAACATAGGCCTGTAACTTAAGCCTTAAGAGGTTTAGGGACCTATTTAATTTCATTATCGTCATTGTTATGCCCTTCAGCTGACCGTCAAAATCAACATGCCTTTACAGAGGAAAAGAAAGAGAAAGAGACTGAAATTATGATGCAATACGCCTTTTGATTTTGTAGGCTACATTAGGTTATTGAATTGTGGTTAATGATCTTGGCAACAAGTCACTCCCCCTCACTTTGATCCATGTTGCTCATCTTGTCACCACTTATACCAATAAATAATAAATAAAGGTGCTTTGATGCATTGCAGTAATCACCCCAGCAGGCAGGTTCAACAAGTCTTCAATTCCACCTGAGCCCTTCCCCTCAATGTACACCAACCATTTAAGACAAACTATTGTGACGTCTTGCACTGTGCAAATAAGCCGACTACAGTTTGAGGTGTACTGTGTGACTCTTTATCAATGCACCGTCAACGCTCAGCTTTCCTGTGCATGGGTAAACACATACTATGGACGCAAATGCATGTGGAAAGCAAATGTTTTGAGCTTTGCGTTCCTTTGTGGATGTTTGAAAGAACAGGCCGGCCTCTGTTGAGATAAGCTAGGGTCTTAAACAACCTCAAGTGGACCTCTCAGTCCTTAAGCAGCCCTGTTTAAGATAGTATGCAATCTGGGATCAAGCATTATGGCTTAAACTGCACATTTAACATTTCTGGTATATACCTACTCCTGCGTTGTGAGGAGTAAGCATACCCAAATATAGTGGAAATAGTTGGGTTGATTTGAATTTTAAGCAGCTGAGAGAATGAACTGTCACACCCAATTTGAACTGGTTGAGCACGTGCATGGTGAGACATGTCAACAGTCTTGACAAACTATTTTGCCAGTTGGTAGCAGTTTCAACACGCCACTGCAAACCCACCACTAGGGCTGGGGTGTCACATGTATAAACCCCATTGTACTAATTACAACACTGGCTGTACAGAAATCATTATGTCCTGAATGCTTCAAAATTGTAGCTTATAAGTAGAAATCTGGAGCCAAAATCTTTTATTGAGGAAGATTAACTGTGCTTTTCTGGTATGTTTTAAAAAGGGAACTGGTTTTACTTATGAGAGAGTGAAATGCGGCATGCTAAACCCAGGGCTGTAATTTTAGTTCCTGGAAGCAGGACACAAAACATCCACCTCCTACTGGTTGAATGCTGTCCACACTTAAACTGCAATTTGCAAGCTCTTAGAAAGACTCTTTTAGAAAGTGCAAGTCATTTTGAACACATACTTATATCCAGTTTGGACAAGCATGTGTTTTTAGTTAGTAGCCATGATCTGTCTGGCATTTACCCTCACAGCAAACATCCTGTATCTGAGTTAGGGAATGAAAACGGCTTATATGTCAATTATGTAGCTTCACACAGCCATCTGAGTAATGAAATTTGAAACATGGACGCGTTAATTCGGCTATATGGTCAGTTATCATGCTTTTCGTTTGTGGTCTTGCATACATATTTTTCCACTAACTGTGCAGCCTCAGAGGGACAAACATAAAGGAACAAGCAGATTACCTACTAGACTCTACCTTGGTAGTCACCTGACAGCATTACAGGCTCCAGAGTGGGACGTAGCACTTTTAAATCCACACTCAGATACTCTGTTACATCAGTTATACTAGTAATAGATATTACTGATTTGCAGAAAGCTCTACACTTTGTAATTCAGTGTTGTTATTCACTTTGGTTTACTCACTTTCCCTCAACCTACATGTTCTACTACTACTTCGGTTCGGCAGCCAGGTGATTTCATACAACTCCCTAGATAACATGCCCCTTCCTCACAATGAACTGACAATGTTGAAACTGTTGTCTCCGTCTCTTTCAAAATAGAAATCTCCCTGTATGACATCTTTAGGAAGAAGCCATTATTCTCAGAGGTTTAAAGGACCCTCCTCCTCCAAGCGTGAAGGAGAATCTACAGTGGCCGCCAAACGTGTAAAAAACTCTAACCACCCATCTAGAGCCAGTGTTTGGTTTGGTCGTTCTGGGCTACTGTAGAAACATGGCTGACCAAAATCGTGGACAAAAACACAAGGATTTTTATTTTCAGGTGATTGTACATTGAAGAAAACATACCTATTAATATTATATTCCTTTTCTGCCAATAGATCCACCTTGCATATTATATTTTAAAACATTTTCTGCTAAAACATAAAAATATGTTTAGAAGCAACACATCTGAGAATAAAACAAACCCACCAAAAAAAAAAAAAAAAAAACCCAAACAAACAACAAAAGCAGCCCAAATGAAAAACCCTCCATATGGTTGTTTTTGAACAGCATCAAAATACGGATTTTCCCCCATCCGAGCAGGATATGGAATCAGGAAGCTCCTGACTAATAAGCTCCACAAACACAGTGATGATGCACTTTTGTGAAGGCGTGCACGAGGTAGGCACAAATGACAAAATGCAAAGATGGAAAACACACAGATACAGAGGAAATAAACAAGATGAATGCAACAATACAGCAATCATTTCATAATTCTCAAACGGTCTCTGAATGGCCTTAAAATGAGAGAGAGAGGGAGATGATAGTTTCCCCATTATTCCACTGTCACTGTGCCACCTCACCAGCTGGGTGGGAGCGGCCTACTCCAGCACAAAAGCATATCAAGTGTACGCACTTAAGAGGAAAAGAAGCCTGATTCTGTCTCTTTTTCTGAAAGGGCAAACAGGTCTGAATAGACTGTAACAGACTCCAATCACCAGAGCCATAGCTGGGCTTTCCAACAAATGTCTACAGACAAGGAGCAGACTTGTCAGTGTTGCAGGAGCTCTCCTGAACGCTCCACTGTCCTTTCCTTGAAACCTGGCTGTCAGTGAAGCTCTCCTTTCATCGATTAACTGTCTTTCTGCAGGAGGCTTTGAGGAGAGGCCAGGCTTTTGGAGACACACAGGCTGATTGTTTCTCCTTCTCCAACCCTCCCCGTCTTCCTTTCTTTCTATCTCTGATAGCTCAGCCGTTACAAAAGATGATATCATCCCTCCTCATTGCATGCCAGGGTGAGCTGAAGACGAACCCATGTGTGTGCACCTGTGCAGTGGGAGTGATGCTTTATCAGGACACAGAACAGATACTGTAAATCACATTCTGGGAAACAAAATCCCACCGGAGCTGAACCACAGACTGAACCTAAAATCTATCCTGAAAAGCCGGCAGCAGCATCAGGAGTTTAACCGGCTGGAACTGGGTCACCGTGCTTAAAATGAAATGAGGCTGATAATTTATAGATACAGTGTGTGTGTGTGTGTGTGTGTGTGTGTGTGTGTGTGTGTGTGTGTGTGCGTGTGCGTGTGCACCAGCAGATGCTGCTGTTGACCTGCAGGTGTTTGCTAGGCCCGCGGCAGGGACTGACAGGTGGCACCGGGCAATTAAGACACAGCTACGCATTTATCCCTTGATGGAAAATTAAATGAAATAATAGTGACTTACCTCAGTGCCACACGGACTGAGCTCTCATCCTGCCCCGTCGTCATGATTCCTTACACAATAATCGACAGAAAGAGAACAAAAAGCGGATTTATCTGTGCTGGCTGCTTGCCCTGGCAAAAGAGCGAGAAAAAAGTGCGCACTCCTCCTCCGGCAGGCAGGCGAGCGGACCGAGCAAAGGAGCTCTTCACCTTGACTTCAACGCCGCCATTTCAAAACAAACACAACAATTATCTTAACGGCGTTTCAACCATGATATCAGCGAGGAGGTGAGGCGGTGCGGTCCGCATGTCGCGTCTACGTGCGCCGCATCTTTGCGCAGTTCAGTCCGGATGCTTCAGCTCCGGCTCGAGCCCATAAGCAGACTGCCGCTGCTGCTGCTGCTGCTGCTGCTAGGTGAGCCATTGCCGCGCGCGCGTACACACACACACACACACATACACACACACACAACACACACAACACACACATACACACGTGCCTGTGTGCTCCGTTTACGCACCGGGGAGGGAGCCGCAATGCGTCAGCAAGTCACGCCCTCTCCTGGAAACGCGGCTGCGAGGTGACGTCATGGCATGGGTGTTATGCACATTTTCTGTGAGAAACACGCTTTAATTAGGCCAGGGTAACGATTTAAAGAAGTAATTACGTGATTTAGGTCATACAATTAACGTCAAATATCAGAGACATTGTTGCAGAGTAGGCAACGATGTCTTCCCGCCTCAAAGGATATGATTATTTCGATTATAGTCTCAGGTAAACTCCACACAGGCTACATAAATCACATTTTCACACTCTTTCCACTAGCACCAGTAAGAAAAAAGATCCAAAACCAATTTCATGTTCTATTTAATTATTTAATTTATTTGTTGAGATGTTTATTGTGTTGTATTACTTATTACTACCTTTTCTCCTTATTTTAGAATTTTAGAATATATTTAGAATTTTTGGCATTTTGATTATGTTATTTTTGTTTTGTTCGAATAATGTCAGATTCTTTTTTTGCTGGAACTGAACAAAAGTACTGTCAGAAATTTGAGAACAAATCAATTTATTAACTACATGTTTTTAAACTAACAGCCTGCATAGCCATTTTCAAAGGGATCCATTGACCTCTGACCTCAAGATATGATGAATGGGTTCTGTGGTGGTGCCCCCCTTGAAAAACATGGCTACTTTATACTAAACCTATGCAGTACTGGGCAAAACCATGTATTTGTTTTGCATGTGGTATAGATGTGTTATTTTCACCTTGTGTATTTGAATATCTCTGCATACTGGGCTTCATAAACTGAATTGGAATTGTGTAAATTGGGAATGAATGGAAACCTACTTACTGGCACCCCTGCATAAGTTTGCCTGCTTTCATTATGAAGTGGCTGACTCTACTAGCACTGAATGGCCAAAGAAGACTAGGATCACATAGCCTATTACAAAAATCTCATCTTCAAACTACATATGCTTATATTTATTAAGTCAGATCCAAGCTTTCTTGGTAATTTTATACATTAATCACTTAGTGTGATTAAAAATAAGAAATCATCTACTGTACAAACATGATGCTAATGTATCGTATTATTTCTTCATTCTAGGCTACTCATTCCTTGTTTTATCTGTCTATTGTAGCTATAGTGCTTTGTTTTATGGTGATTGTTCAGTGCAAAAAAATTGTGAAGTTGTTACCAGTTTTTATGTTTTGGTAAAAACCATAACTTTATTTCATGGAAAAGCACATTAACGTCGGTTGTCTACTGTGGTACAATGCAGAGTAGTCAAGATTATCTACATTATATTACAATATGGAAAGGGCACTTTTCAAAAACATATTTAAAAGATATTGCTTTGAATATATCAATAAATATTTTAAAAATATACATATTTTGTACATGAACCCCACGTGAAACTATGGAATCAGTGCTTTTGAAATACATGCTGTACCTGCAGGTTAGTGCTATCTATAAAGTAATGGCCTGTATAAATGATGCTAGTTACTCACTAAAATGAACTTTTAGTGCCCCCTTGTGGTTATTCTTGACTGTCATCATACTGTGTGAGGGTGCTCATGAGATCTATTGAGTGATGGGACAGTGGGTACACTATGTCAAGAACAAGGAACATCACTGAATTTTAGTTTTTTAGTTGCTGATAATGATGTTTTTTTGATTACATACACATTAAAGTTTCATTAAGTCAGACTGTAAGACTAATAGAGCTACCACATACTGCAGTACATACTGTGATGACCATGGCATTCATATTAAACACCTCAATCAAGCCAACTACTGTAGTTTAACTTAAGTAGATACAATGTAGTGTGGGTCGAGCCACCATGTATCTGCTCTTTGCTTGGGTGAGAGGTGAATTTAAAGGCAGTTTAAAGGTTAAAGAATGGTGTCACCTGTCAGAGGGACCAGCCTGTTACCCACTGCAGGGCCTAATGATCATTTAACGTTATTAAAAAACAAATACTGGCCTTCTATAAGAACGGTCACCCAACTTAAACTGTGTATTGTTTGTATTGTAGGAGCTGTTTGAGTTTGTGTGTTACAAAAAGTTATTATTAATATATTGTTAAAAAACAAAACAAACTGTATGCCGCAGCAAAAGGCAAAGAAAGACAAGGTTTACATATTTGGTTTGGTCTGTGTGTAAAAGCTCTCCACCCTACCACTTCCTGCTGGGCAATAATACCAAGAATACAGGAGTCCCGTTACAAGCCTATCAAGTTACAGGACACAAAGTATGGCAAAACCACAGGCTGACTAATGACTAGACACATGTCAGTGCATATTATAGTGAAGACAAGCCAAACACTGCATGCTGGCTGCTGCAGAGACTGAATATCGGACTCATTTTTAGAAAGACTGTTTGAAAATGTTTATCAAAGTTAGTTTAACTTCACTCATGGCCACAAAACAGAAAATAACACAAATAATTTGACTATTTACAAAGTTTTTCTCCCATTCACTGCTAACCTGGACTGTGTGGATGGGGGTCTCCATGTGGTCAGAAATACCACCCAGGCCTGAATTAGTTAGCTTGTTTTTGATAATGTGTTGAATGTGTCCAGATCTACAACTGTTGCTAAAGCTCCCTTTGAAAACACAGATTAGGAAACTTAAAACAATATTTAAAGGGCCGGTTCACCCAAATTATATACAAAGATCATTCAACTCTTTTTGCATCTAGCCACAGAGAGGAGTTTTTGATTTAACTTTTTCAAGTTTAATGATATTACTTCTGAGATTCCTTTCTTCATCCCAGTACACTGGAGGGGAAGATAATTTAATTTGTGGAGCATTGAAAAATTGCTTTTTTGTCAATAGTTACCTTTGGGACTTTCTCTTGCCCTGATGAAAAACTATTCATTATTCATTTATCATGAGTAATGGAGACACTAATGCCAGAAAAAGTGGATTATCACGAGTAATGGAGACACTAATGCCAGAAAAGGCTGCTGAAAAGTTTAAATCTAAGTTTTCAATGCTGTGAGCGCTACATATAAAAAATCCTATTCATAATGCACTGTGGTGGTGGCACAAATCTCAGAGATGGAGATCTAAAAACCAGGACAAAAAAGCCAAAAAAATATCCCACTATTTGTTGGATTAAAAAAGCAATTTGAATGCAAACCATAATGGACATTTCCCACTACTTTCTGTCTTAGCAGGTCAAGCAATCAAGATTAATGGCAAATTAACTGATCACAACATCAGCCATAAAGTTTTTCATCATAATATATAAAGATTTTCCTACAACACAGCCAACGTAGCTTTATTTAATTCATTGCTTTTTGTTCTTACAGTGCTGTAAAGTGTAATTTTAAGTCAGTACACATCTAATATGCAACACATCTACTGAATACCTTAATGTAAACACTACATCAAACAAAGCATAATGAATACTGAAACTGCTTCAATGTGTGTATGTTTATTTCCCAACGATCATATTGATGAACAGAACAAGAGAGAACTCTGAGTGTACTTGTATATACGTTGTTTCATTGACAAAATGTTAAATGACACAGTACCAGAATGAACACACCTCCCCCCACCAATTAGGTTAAATGGATCTATGGCCTACAAACTACTGCTTCATCATTATTGTCCACCTGAGAATAAATTAAGTCTGTTGTACAAAAGGGCAGTGCCAGTATATAGAATACATCTTCCAATACAAAGTGCAATACTTTTTAACCTTTTCAAATTTCTCCTATAGGCCAATAATCAAGATTTTCATGAATAGTAGCTGGTTGATATTACTGCTATCATATTGCTCGAGTCTTCACAAGAAATGATGACATAATGTGAAAAGATTATGGATCTTTCACCACAAAATACGTGGTTGCTAATATTGTACAGTAGTTGATTATTCCCATAAATATAAAGGTTTCTGTGCAATTTCCAAATGTTTCTCTCATTGGGAAATTTTAGTTAAGACATTTCCAGGTGTTCATAAAAATCCCACATTACTAGAAATAAAATTAAGATTGTTCTTCAATAAAACATTTAAAGGAAAACTTATCAGTTGCACTGAAATGGCAATTTCTGGCTTGAACTGTCATAAAAAGAAGGCCGCGTTCATCAGAAAATGTTAATAAGAAATCTTGTTACAGTTTTTAGATTAGCCACTAAAAAGCAAACTAGCATATATCAAAGTATGCTAGGGCAGACAGGATGTTCCGTACAAAGGTGCTTTGTATGAAGTTGTTCAGGGCTACTTGGTCACCATTATCTGAGCTGTGAAAACAAAGACATGAAAACAAACGTTTAAAAAGGAATATTTTTAACACTGTTGTAGTGCACTAGAAACTTTATGAGCGCACCTAGCACTGTGATGCCGTACTTACAGTGATATAAGCTATGGCATTGTCTGGCCCCACGGCTCCATAGTGTGCTGGGCTGAATTCTGAACCTTGCTAGAAAATTAAAGATTTGAACAACTCCTTCAAACAATCTGACATATAAAAATCTTTTAGACACCTTTTTGATTCTTAAAGTGCAATCTCTCCCACTGCGCACACAATAGCAGCCACCCACAACCAACTATTTTGTTTCACACCCGCACAGATTAAAACATAAAACCTGTGTTAGTGATTTCAACAGGAAGGTGTTTTGAAAGAATATAGGCATATGCAAATGTACAAATAAGTAAAAAAAAATGATAGTACAAATAGTCTCACTGAAAAAAAAAGGAAAAATGCTACTTGCTAGGAAAACCAAAATCATTCCCCAAAGTGCATCTTTAAAATGAAGTAAATAATACAGATAAAATAAAATACATATGGTAATTATGTATCAGTTTCAGGTTTGGGACATCATTTTTTGGTTATTACATACTATAGCTTTCCTGGGATATTCATTACCCCAGCAACACTGCTCTAAAGAATCCTGCTCACCCTAATCCTGGAAAGTCTTGCTCCAATGTTTGCTTTGATGACAAAGGGAATGATGGCAAGAAGAATGCACAAAAGAAAAAAATCCAAAGCAGACCAACTCCCAGTTAAAACAAAGACAGAGATTACTGATGAGGGGAACGTGCCAGTCAAAGTCAATCAATGGAGAGCTCAAGCCTTGTATGCTTGTGTTTGATTGCAGCCACCAGAGGGCAACAGGATTACCTTTCCTCCCCACATGAGCAAACCAAAGGACAGAGCGGAGAAACAAAATCTTCCCAGTCTACTCTACTTCTGAGGCATCGCTTTCAGAGGGGAGGTAGTTGCTGCCTTTTACCCGAATGTAATGGACATGGCCATTGGCTGAGGAGGCGCCACAGGAGCAGAGCTGACCAGCGAACAGGTTCTCGATGTCCTCCAGCTGCAGACCCTGGGTCTCTGGGAGGCAGCCCTGGACGAAGAGGAGACCCAACACCACCAGCCCTGCGTACATGAAGAACGCCCCTGAAAGAGAGATTAACATGTACGCTGAGCTTTGGCTGCCAGTCTTTAAATAAAATCATAAGAACTATTAACAGGCAAGATGTGAGCAACACAGAATTATTCATAAGCAGTTTATGGTGTGACAATGTATTTACTATCATCTGACCTCCTGACCTCCAGTCTTACCATAATAGGTCAGGAACTCAGCGAGGTGAAGGAAGGTCAGAGACACCAGGACGTTGAAGATCCAGTTGACCCCGGATGAACAGGCGTTGCCGGTGCTGCGGGCCCACAGTGGGTAGATCTCGGAGTTCACTGTCCAAGGCATGGGGCCCATACCTAACACACAGAGACATTCTTTAACATTGTTTAATATTCACAATATGCACTGCCTGTATCACTGATATCAGGGAGGTGGCTATACATTACGTATTGGTTATTCTTCCTGATAATACACATAATAATTGTTGGTTTAGGTATTTGTTAACAATAAGATTTTTGGTAATGTTTAGAATAGACAAGCAACCCCTTTATTTGGCAATTGTTTTCTCTGTTAGCCAAAATGGTTCGTGCTACTGTAAGTGAAAGGTGTGTAATATTTCTGTGGTTTTGTGTGTTGTACATGTATCTATATATATATTTTTTCAAGACACTTTTGTTAATGTGGAAACTAGCTCAGGAACACTGTTGAATGTGAGATGTTTGAAAAACAATGACAGAGTCGTTTCAGACCTGGAGCAAAGAATGCAAGATAGAGAATGAGGCCCAACAGGACGATCCAGGAGTAGGATGTTGGACAGTAGTTGTAGGCCCAGATCGGGCTGTCAGTTGGGTCTGTCTGGTTGGAACAACTGGGTGAAAGAAACAGAAAAAACTAATTTTAATTTAATTTACATATGATTCTGTATCCTAGGAAAAACACAGTTGCTTCCTCTTTAGATTACAGAGAGGATGTTACTCCTTTAGCTTAAGCTTTAGGGATGCTGAAAGTGATCATATACTCTCTGTCATGCCACCACACAGATAATCAAGTGTCTGACCTTCCCCAGGCGGCGTGATCTGCGGACGCTGGGCTGACAGGGACACAGGAGGAGTCGTACACTCTGGTGCCGTTTTCACAAAAACAAAATCCACAGTCCGAATCCAACATGCAGGATTCACATGACCTGGAGGAAAGAGCTGAATGTAAAACCTCTCACATACTAATCAATCCATGTCCACACAGGGATGTCACACTGTTTACTGAGCAAAAGACAGGCACACATACCACTCTGTCAGCAGCAATAACTCAAGCCTTTGAAAACAACGAAGATATTGAAGCTTTATGTACATCCAGTTGGAAGCAGTGTTCACGGACGCAGCAAGAACAATGAAAGTGAATACAGGTACCTCCAGGAGTTGTATTTAGTCAAATTTAAGTGCTGTTTGTGTATTTTAATTATATGAGTAGCTCAAAAAGCCCTTTGGATATTCTAATATCTTTCCATTAGAAACAGGACTTGTGTGGGGATGAAATATACTTTTTGACACTCCTCATAAAATCATAAAAGTTACCAGGAGCAGCTTTGATATCATAAACTGTAACTTCACAACCTACTTTTACTCAAGATCCCTAATGAACATGCATTTTTAAAAGCAATTATCTACATTTCCTTGAACAAGACATTTCCTGCCTTTCAACAACTCTTTGAAAAGGTGCTCAGACATTATGTATTCAGCCCTGAGTTATGTGTAGGCAAAAAAGTAATGGTAATAAGGAGGTGAGAAAGACTAAGGACTGTGGCTTATATCACTGTAGAAAATGTTCTTTCTGACTAGTTTGCAAGGAGTTTCTCCATTTATGAAGCAAAACTGAGAGACATCACAATCAAACCAAAATAACATTGGACCAGCAATATTTTGATATGAAGTCAAACTGCCTACATATGCTGGTTGTCTGGATGAATAAGAAAGACTATCAACTAATATCTCAAAATGAAAATGAATGGTTGGTGGGAAGAATTAAAATGACAGCAATGTAGCTGTGGTGTGTTCTCCTACCCATATAGCCTGCAGGATGAGTTCTGAGAGTCGACTGGGTGGAGGGTAACGGGCGGAGAATTCTGGGCAGACAGCAAAAACCCGACTGCCAACAAAGTCAGGCTGAGACCAGTACCTGGATTAGAGAAGATAAACACATTAAATAAAACCTTGAGATCTCTGCATAAATTAAGAATTAATAAATCCTGCTCAGACGTCTGCTTTAGACTACAACTAAAACTTAGAGGAAGACATTCTACTCCACAGACCTTCCCTGCAGATTGTATGTCCCTCTGAATAACATCATTAACTAAATGCCATGGTAACGTGACACAAAACTATAACAGAAACATTACTGTCTCGAATAAAATATTGAATTACTGAAAGCAAGAATTATTCTATTTTGTTATGGATTTATATACTAATTACGTTTAACTACTCACTGGGCTGTCACAGATCAGTCATTTAGTGAAATGAATCAACTATCAGTCAAGTAATTACTGCACACTCTCCAAAGGACAAACCTAAAAGACTGCCCAGGGTCAGCTTCCTGCGGCCCACTCTCTCCACAAGCCAGACTCCAACCAAGGTGAACACAAAGTTGGTAGCAGCAGTTGCAGCAGCCAACCAGATTGCCTGATTATCATCCCGCACCCCCGCCATCTGCAGGATGGTTGCACTGTAGTACCTAGATATGGTCGAAGAGGTTCACTGAAAAGCCAACTCAATTTACGTTGTTTTTTTCTCACAGTTAGACAGGTCAGGATTCTGACTTATCACTTGAGCTTTCACAGTAGAGGGTGGTGTTATCAGGCAGAAGGGAGAAGGGAGCAATGTCAAGATAAATGGATGACCTACATGACAGTGTTTATTCCAGACAGCTGCTGAAACATCTGCAGGCCACAGCCAACGATGAGAGCCCTGCGAGTCGGACCGTGGCGAAGGATCCGCAGAATAACAAGGCCTCCAACAGAACAAACACCCAAATATCTTTGATAAGTATTACAATTTTAACTAGTGTCAGAGAGATTCATTTTTATTTGTTTGTACAGAATTTTTTCACCTCCACTCGCTTCTTTCTCCTCTTCCTCAATGCTGGTTCTGATGGTGTCATACTCCTCATCAATGTTCTGGCCTCCTCTTATCTGGCTGAGAACTCGACGGGCCTCCTGGCCCCGGCCCTTTTGGAGAAGCCAGCGGGGGCTCTCCGGCAGGAAGAAAAAGCCGACAAACTGCAGCACTGCTGGGACAACGGACAGACCTAACATGTACCTACAGTATGGAGAGAACAAGGAAGAGTTAAGGGGAGATGAAATGTCACCACTTATTCTACTTTTGTTTGCTTTAACTGGATACTCTCAGAATTACCCCTGATTCAATAAAACGGTATTGTGAGCAAGCGAACATCAGAGGACAAAAACTAGATGCAACCAATACTGGTTTTTCTGAAGGCAGGCACCGATATCAATATTTGAGAGCTTTAAAAGTTTGAATGATATATCAGCCAATAATAGTTTTGTTGAGTTTTAAAGAGTTGTGACCAAAATATCTCATCACTGAAAAGTACACTTATTCTAAAATTGCCCAATATTTACCTGTAATATCTTTACTGTGGTTTTATCCCCACTATTTTGCAATAACAATATATCTGGGATAAGCTAATATTGGCAATACCAATGTATCAGTCAGGCACTTTGCAAACACTTTCAATCAATGATATCAGACCAAGTGTCAGGGCTTGTCTACACAGGAGGAGTTTAAGCCACATTAGTCGTCCGTCTCGAGTGTGTCTGATGGAACAGATATGCTCCCATATATTTTAATCAGAAACAGCTGTCTACAAAGGCTGCATCATGTCTCAAGATATATGTGCGTGATCAAAACCTGCAAGGTATTTTTTAATATGCTTCAAGTCTATTTACTTCAGTATTATGAGCCTAACTTCAGGGAATGTGTGTTCTGGGCACTGCCAAACCACTGGTGACCTACATTCAATGCATCCTGTGTAGACACAGACAGAGGACTGGAGCTGCTCCTGCTTTGCTAACATACTGCTTTCACTACTCCATTGTGTCAGTGAGATAGGTAGTGAACCTCTGAACTGGTTGGACATCATCAATATAAAGCATTTATGGATAACTTTCACAGCTAAATTCTGCAGTGTGTTTACCGAGTGAGTGCAACATAAACTAAAGTAAACCTTTGGCATGGACAGTTACTGACATGGTGGACGGTGTAGTAGAACCAACACATACCTCCAGCCGTCGTGGCTCATGTAGCTTAAAGCTCCATCAATGACACTGGCAATTAACTGGCCACCGGTGATGAAGAGGGAGTTGATAGTGACCAGCTGACCTCTCTGGTGAGAGGGGGAAACTTCGGCAATGTATACAGGAACTGTCATAGAGGCTATGCCTGGTGGGGGAAAAGAAATAAGTTTAATTTTGACCTACACAGAACAAGTTTCCCACACATTTCATATATCCATTTTGGTCTAATTAAAATCTATAACACGATCCACAGCCCTGCGCTTCCTTCAGGCAAATACAAGGCAACAGTGATACTGGAAGAGCAGGTCAGGTGGGGTGAGGTTAGAGGTGGCCTGGCAGTGGACTTTGTATCTGCTCCTAACTCTAACTAAGTTTAAAATAGCAGGGGGCGGTAAAGTAAAGAGCTGAGAAGAAAGCTTGTGACTGCTGCTCTGAATTCCTGTGCAAACTAAAAAAGTGAACGGGGGAACTGAAAGGATTACATTTTACCAAAACACTGCTTCTGATTGACCTCACAATGGGGAATTAAAGATTTAGATTTAGATAAGAAGATAATTTTACCAAAGAAAACACAAACAAACTTCACTATCTTCAGTATAGCTGATGCCAATGTTGATGGCTCAAGGCTTTTTCATAATCTATGCCATCACCTCACTTTACACCAACTCACCTATACCCAAGCCGACTACGATTCTGCCCACAAGAAGGACCACCTTGTCCGGGGCCAAACTCAAGATGATGCCACCGGTGCTGAAGATGAAACTGGCCAAAAGGATGCAGACCTTGCGCCCCAGCCACCCGTTCAAGAAGCCTCCACTTATGGCGGAGAGTGCTGCAGCCCCAACAGTACTGGAGACGAGCAGCTCCTGCCACAGATTGCTCAGTTTCATCTCCTTCTTCAGGAGCAGCATAGCTCCGGACACCACGCCAGTGTCGTACCCGAAGAGAAATCCTCCCAGGGCAGAGAAAAACACCAGCACATAGATGAAGCCCGGCGTGGAAGGAACTTTGTCCAGGAGGTCCCCACCGGAGGCAGAGTCCCCAGATGGAGGCCCAATGAGACTCCGCTCTCCATCATCTATTGATTTCTGTCTCCTACTGCCCATAAGGTTGCTCATGTACTTCAAGCTGTATTCATCGTGGCTGCTGGACATAGAGGAGACCAGGGGTTAAGATCACCAGGGGCTAGTTCAGCAACCTCTCTGTAGCAGTTATTCCTTTACTAATAAGGTACAGTTTGTTGTTGTTGTTGTTGTTGTTGTTGCGCAGAAAACTCATTAGAAATAGCAGGGTTGAGAAAAAGTGGGCCCACACAAAATGAGATAATAATGATGCATTGTTTTCAATACCAGTTTGTCCGACCTGTGTGTGTTTCGCGGTCCAGCTCGAAAGAAGAAACAGGGAAGAAGACAACACGTCAAGATGTTAAGAGCTAACTTAGCCAGAAGTTACTTGCTGAATTAACTAACGACGCCGTTCAGTGATAAGCCCCCCCGGTTGCTGGCTGTTAGTACGGTAGATTTCAGTGTCATGTCATCAGAAATGTGCCTAAACGGTGCAGTTTATTGGCTTCAACCTGACTCCACAGGATTGTTTACCTCTAGCAGTGCTAGCTCCGCTGTGCTCCAGTGTGCGGCCATGTTTACGTGACGTCAGCTGACTGCCTCGGTCCCGCTGGAGGAAAGTTATTGTAAACCCAGACCTACAGACATCTAAAACCTCCAATTATACACCAACCAAGTGAAATCAGACAATACATTGCATTACTACCATACTGTGAAAGTAAGAAAGCAATGTAAACTTTAAGATTATTAACCTTGTACAATTTATTTAACTCATTTATGATTTCTGTCTGCCCCCTGGTACTGTCTCTTCACCTGTTGGTATATAAAGACAAAAGAAAGGTTGTTGTTTTTTTTTGGTTTTTCTTTAAAGAAAGAAAAGTTATTGTAGCCCAAATACCACAACTAGGTATTCATGTGTAAGATGCGTCATCCGCGTCCAAATTAAATCATTATGTGGGAAATGTCCCTTTTGAACATCCAATTTATTACTTACACACAAAACTGATCTTTCATTTGAGTGAATCGTTCTTCATGGGCAAATGTTATAAAACAGACCATTTACTTACTATTTGCCAGTTCGGACAGATGGTGAGAATAACTCCAAAACCAACTCCAGTATATGAGAAGGTTCTGGAGTATGTACCCTATTGCTTCATTTATTGACTCAAAGTACAGTTATAAACTACATGCTGAACTTTAAAGGTGAAAAACCACAGTAGTTACACAAGCTCAAACCACTAGGCTATTTAAATTCAGTCATCAAATACCTGCACATAACATTTGCCTCTGCACTGTGCGATGATAAACCACACTGAACAGCTGACAGGTAGGACTCCACGCTGGTAACTTTTAATTAAATATAACTCATAATAGATTAAATATTAAATGTCTACATGAAACAGAAACCCTGTATTAACTAAACAGATGTGATCTGTGCAAAACAACTGGAACTATACCTCTGAAAAGCTTTTTTCTTCTGGAGTAGCCTACTGCAGCAGCGTCTGTCCTCTTCAACAAACGGAAGTTTGTCTGATGACTCCGAATCACTCACATGATGTTGCCACAAAGGAGGGATCCACCCATTTCCAGCAGAAAACAGTTTACCTGTTCTTCCAGTGGTCCTCACACAGCAGAGCATACAGCCCTGTTTACCTTATCTGTCTGTTGTTGACCAGCGGGGATTTTGCATTGCTCGAAACAGATGTTAAGGCTGTACAGTATTTGAAAACTGTCACAACATATTTTCCTGTCAGCTGTTACTTATTTGCCTTTGAAGACTAAACAGTGAGGTTTTGTTTAGCAAGTTAATGCATTCTCCTATTTTGTTTTCTTTTTACAAGGAGATCAGGTGACCTGTTTGTCTTTCTGTTTGTCATTTTTGACAGATCTCTATTCATATAATTTCTCATATCAAGATTATTTTAATGAGTTAAAATACTAAATGAGATTTCAGTCACTTTCTTTCACTTTTTAAAAATAAAAAATCTAGTCTAAATCTGACTCATATACTTCGTTGTATACATTATGATGCATTATTATAAGTAATACTATGATAATATTGCTATTAATGAATAAGGAATGAGTCAATGTAACAGCAGAACGACCCTACACGCTGACCGTGTACCGTAGTTACGCTGCTAGATGCGCAGCACAACACAAAGACGGTGATGGTGGCAACAGAAAGAAACTAAGATTTTCTTCAATTAATCGCAGTTTTTATGAGAAGTCATGTAGGCCGACTTTAGATATATGTTCCAAGCACTTGTACAAAGATTTAATATTTGATCTTTGGGCTACCTATATTTGCCCATTCACAAACTAACGCCACAGTGGGTATTTTTTTTTATGAAATACGGCGCAAATCAGTGCCAAGTTCCGAATCGGTAAATCAGTAACTGACATCAGACACCGGGGTGGGAGACAGCTTGTAGACTGCATAGATACCACCAGACAGCCCCTGAACGTGTAGCTGTCATTCCCAACCAGGCTAATGTGAGTTAAAACGACCCGGTGATTTAAACTACGACAGGAAGAAACGCGGGTATGCGTTGTTGTGTGGCAGTTGACTGTCCTTGCCCGCCGCCGTCCCCCACAGTGCTGCTACTGCTGTTGCTGCGCGGTATCTGCTCCCAGTTTCCTCTTTAACAAACGGGAAGTTTTTCTGGGCCGGAGTCATATGATGTGACTGTAAGGAAAGGAGGAACACGCCTGTGTCAGAGAGTAACTTTTTTTCCCCTCACAGAAACCACAGAAAGTCTCCCCACTTCACAAAGAGGAAGGTGTTTCTCTGCCAGAGGAAAGTGAACCGAGGACGGTGATGTCAACGTCGGAACCGAAACTCCGCCACAGTGACAGCTTCCCCAGTCGTGACAGCTTAGCCACTTTAGCTGTACTGTAGCTAATGTAACGTGATGCAACATGACTAGTTTTCACTAATGTGATGTAATGAGAAGTGTGGATACAGTGGCACTTTACTCGTTTCCTTCCCATGCTACTGTAGCAATGCTGTAGCGGCCACTCAAACCCGGTTGTCGGTTGCTCGGAGAGGGACTGTACCGACTGACCTAAATGCACGTCAACTCGTCAGCTGGAAAACGATATTTCAAAGACCATGGTTAACAAAGAGGAGTTGGAGGAAAGGCTGAAGAAACTGCTGGTGAGGCTGAACACCCCGCAAGAAGACAGACAGCTATGCACGCTGATTCAGATAATCCAGGATCTGCTTTTCCTGGCGCACACCGACGATGGTAGGAAACACATTGTCCCCGCATGTGCATCCTGCTGCTGTTCATAAACAGGCCATGTTGTCTGACTTATGTGGGGTGAAGTAACTCAGATCCTAAGTATTAATACCACAGTGTAGAAGTATAACACACATATATGTAGTTAACTACTAGTTTAACTACTAGTTTAACTACTAGTTAGGTAGTAGTAAGTATCTGACTTGTACTATTTCTATATTGTGCAGTTTTATACTCTGGTACTTTTACTCAACACATAATTGTAGTTTTCAGATAAAGATATGACACATAAGGACATGAATACATTCGTTTTGGTATGGGTGGTTTAATTCAACATCTGTTTTTTAATATTAAACTGGTACACCCTAACTTAACACAATGCATAGTTTACCACTTGACTCACTAGACTACATAATTGGATTTGTGCTATTGTTAAGCTTTGTAATGCACATTCAAAATAGAAATGAATGTGAAAGACTGTTCCTTCAAAGCTATCTTGTCACATCATGTCTTCTTATCTTTTGCTCTGTGCAGCAGCTGAACTGTTTGAAGACAAAAATGTTCATGTCCCCCTCATGGTGGTGCTGTCATCCTACATCAGCAGCAAAGGAGTCCAGCAGGTACCTCACAAATCTTTGATTAAGTGCTTTACTTTTGCATCAGCAATGTGTTATTCTTTCACAACAAAATCTTGAACTTTGTCAGCCTAAACAAAGAGAAGACTGGCTTTAAACAGCTTATTGAAATGACAAATGTCCTGACAAAGTAAACACACAGGTGTTGAAGTGTGTACAACAGCATCGTCTGCTCTGTGTACTGTAGCTTACAATTCATCCACAGCTGACAGGCCTATGACTTATCTAGCATGTTTATGCCTTCTCGTGACTACTGTATGCTGCAGCTTGTCAGAAGTGGGACTGCTGCATGGCACAGAATGAAAGTCAGATTGTGAGACTTATGTGCCGACTCGGCCAAAGACTCATTTAGTTCCAGTTCATGAGTACTGGAGTGCCAAAGCATTTTAATGGGCTGGTGTGATCCATTGCAAGATGGTCTCTAGTTTTTCTTTAGTGTTATGTGGATTGTTTGACTGGCCTTCACACTTCTAACCTAAGTCTGTGACGGTGTAATCTTCTTGCCACAGGTGGGTTGGTCATTGCTATGTCGAATGATTGAAATATGCCCCAGTACACTGGACCAGCTGACCAGACCTCTGCAGGCAGCCAAGGACTGGGAGGTACTGGGAGTGCACCAGTAAGTAAAGACATACTTATTGGCTGCTGTTGCTGCTCATATCTCTTGTCATATGACAGTAATGGCTTGTGTCACATGACAATATCATACCACACCAGCATAGTTGATCATATTACGTAGCATTCATGTTCAGAAGAAGTCATACATTCATTGAGTAAGTAAGTCTATACAGTATATACCTGTACACTGTATCTTTGACCCAAACTAGGGCAAAGCAATGTCAATATTTTCATAATTTATCATTTTTAGCTTTAGCTTTAGGGATGGCAGTGTTAGTCTGTCGGTCCACCACTTTGGTTCAGTCTGAAAAAACTTTGGATGGATTGTCATGATATTTTGTAAACATTCATGGTTCCCGGAGAATGAAGCCCACTTACTTTGGTAATCTCCTGACTTTTCCACTCGCGACACACTGGGGTTGACATTTATGGTTTTAAATAAAAGGTCTACAACTATTGGATAGATTACAATGATATTTAGTACAAACATTCATGTCCCCTTCCAGATGAAATGTGATTACTTTGGTGATATGTATTTCCATCATCTGGTCAACATTCCCATTAGCCTCAGCAATACTTTGTGTTCAGGACCAAAACTAATAACATTCCCATCAGCCTCAGCTGTACTTTGTGTTAGGGCTATTTGCCAAATGCAATTTGTTTAAAGTCCAGTGTGTAGGATTTAGTGGCATTTAGCTGTGTAATTGCAGGTTGCAACTCCCTCGCTTCACCCTCCCTTTCCAAGCGCAAACAGAAACTATGGTGGCTGGGAAACGCCCCTATCTAGACACTGTGTTTGGTTTATTCCTTCTATTTCTGATTCTTTATGCCAGGAACACAGACATTTGAGTGCGAAAACTCTCAGCTTCACACATTTAATTTTTGCAGATTGCAGTTGTTGACAAGTACACTGTGTTTTGGATCAGGTCTGTTGGGCTTTTAAGAAAGTAAAGTTAATCATCATCAGCATGTAAAGAAAAAAACAACCACAGCTGCACAGACTCTATATCAGAACAGGGAACAAAAACATAACGATTCTTATATCCAGGTGATTATACACTAATGAAAACAAACCTATGTATATTATATTCCATTTCTGCCAATAGAGCGTCCTAAATTATACACACTGGACCTTTTATATTGGTGAACACTGTAAACTTTACATCTGCATGTTAGCATTATCACTGTGGGCATGTTAGCATGCAGATGTTAGCATTTAGCTCAAAGCATCACTGCACATCTGAACAGCCTCACAGAGCCGCTAGCACAGCTGTAAACTCTTAGTCTTGTAACTTCACACGAGAATCACATCCTGATGTTCACAGTACGGGAAAAAATATAAACCATAACAGTTTTGCCAGTTACCTCACATTTCGTATAACCGTTACTTTAATTATAATGTTGGTAATGTTGGTTGTGTGAGAGCAAATATATTTAGTAGACATTGATATAATATAATTGTGTCCAGGTATCATCAAAGGCATCATTCTGCTGGGCGCTCTAGGACAAAGTATCAGGGAATTTAAGCCACTTTACCTTTCTTTACCAATTCGTCCTAAGTTAATAGATTTTGACTCTCTGATGTTCCAGATCCAAATTATACTGGTAACATTTTCAGTTTTCAGTTCCTGTTTATTGTAAGTAACTGACTCAACCGGTCATATATTACCACAGTGTCAGTTTTACCAGATGACCTTTTCAGGTCCTTTGTAATACTGTCTAACATCTTCTCCAAAGCACTTGTGTTCAACCAAGCTCTTGGATTTTCTTCAGTTCTTGTTTTAAGCCATGTTTCCCCTATTTCTAGTCCTAGTGTTAACAATAGGGAGGTTATGGAAAATTTTAATACTATGGAAGTGTGTAAAATCAGCGTGTAGTTTAAAACTATTTTAAAATATGCAGTACATAAACTAACTAGCTTTAAGTCTGCAAAAGTTAGGGCCTTGCTTGCAAATAGTAAACTGTTTTAACTACCTCAGTCTTGAATCCCTTTGTGCTGACTACAGCCCTGGTTAATGTTTTGCCTGTTCTGATGTGTTTTCCAGGCAGATCCTAAAAGCGCTGTCTCAGTACAGAACGGACTGTAAAGTGACCATGGTTGGACTCAGAGCCTTGGCTCTCCTGCTCAGATCAGGTACACGACTACATAGGAAATATTCTACAACACATTAGGACATCACTCCTGCTACATATGAAACCAGCACAGGCGCTAAAAGATTGAAAGTCAATTTAACACCCTTTTCTGTTCAAAGCTAAACATCTGTTTGGAATATTGAGGTTTATGTTATGATGCACTAATGTCATTAAAGCAATACAA